GACGGGGGTGGGGGGTAGCCGGGTGCGTTAGTGCTACAGGGGTACGGGAGGGGGGGTTACCTGGCTGTGTTAGTGCTACAGGGGTACGGGGTGGGGGGTAGCCGGGTGCGTTAGTGCTACAGGGGTACGGGGTGGGGGGTTACCTGGCTGTGTTAGTGCTACAGGGGTACGGGGTGGAGGGTAGCCGGGTGCGTTAGTGCTACAGGGGTACGGGGTGGGGGGTTACCTGGCTGTGTTAGTGCTACAGGGGTACGGGATGGGGGGTAGCCGGGTGCGTTAGTGCTACAGGGGTATGGGGTGGGGGGTAGCCGGGTGCGTTAGTGCTACAGGGGTATGGGGTGGGGGGTAGCCGGGTGCGTTAGTGCTACAGGGGTATGGGGTGGGGGGTAGCCGGGTGCGTTAGTGCTACAGGGGTATGGGGTGGGGGGTAGCCGGGTGCGTTAGTGCTACAGGGGTATGGGGTGGGGGGTAGCCGGGTGCGTTAGTGCTACAGGGGTATGGGGTGGGGGGTAGCCGGGTGCGTTAGTGCTACAGGGGTATGGGGTGGGGGGTAGCCGGGTGCGTTAGTGCTACAGGGGTATGGGGTGGGGGGTAGCCGGGTGCGTTAGTGCTACAGGGGTATGGGGTGGGGGGTAGCCGGGTGCGTTAGTGCTACAGGGGTATGGGGTGGGGGGTAGCCGGGTGCGTTAGTGCTACAGGGGTATGGGGTGGGGGGTAGCCGGGTGCGTTAGTGCTACAGGGGTATGGGGTGGGGGGTAGCCGGGTGCGTTAGTGCTACAGGGGTATGGGGTGGGGGGTAGCCGGGTGCGTTAGTGCTACAGGGGTATGGGGTGGGGGGTAGCCGGGTGCGTTAGTGCTACAGGGGTATGGGGTGGGGGGTAGCCGGGTGCGTTAGTGCTACAGGGGTATGGGGTGGGGGGTAGCCGGGTGCGTTAGTGCTACAGGGGTACAGGGTGTGGGGTAGCTGGGTGTGCTCGGGGACGGCATGTGGAGCAAGCCCAGAAACGTGTCATGTTCCTCTGGGTGGGGCGGGGGAGGGGACACAGGTGGGAAGGGCCGAGAGCGGGGCTGGCACTTGCCTTTCCCCTGGGGACCAGGCGCTGGCGTCGCTGCGGAGCCGCGGGATTCCGGCACCGGATGAGCCCCGCTGGGTTTCCTGCTGCCGTGTAGAGCAGCTCCGCTCCTGCTGCTGGTCGGGGCGGGCCGGCCAGGCTGGGCGTCGCTTCCCGCAGGGAGCCAGCACCTGGCCGGCGGATGACACTCAAGCCGAGCGCGCCTTCTGCCGCTCCCTCGGCGACCAGCCAGGGCCCAGGGCTGCACTGACTCGGCTCCTTTCTCCGTGCCGCTGTAGCAAGCTCCACGCCTTCATCTGGGACTCAGCCGTGCTGGAGTTCGAGGCCTCCCAGAAGTGCGACCTGGTGACCACGGGGGAGCTGTTCTTCCGCTCTGGCTTTGGGATCGGCATGCGCAAGGACAGCCCCTGGAAGCAGAACGTCTCCCTGGCCATCCTCAAGTCTGTACCCGCTCGCGGCGCTCTCTGGGCATTGCCTGGGCTCGAACGGGGGTGGGGAGGGCAGGGCGAGGAGCTAGCGCCGCCGCCTGCTGCAGGGACTTGGGGGACCAGGGCAGGAGAGCCTCAGAGGCCACGTGAGCCTGATTCCACGTGACAAGCCAGGGCTGGTCCCTGGTAGCGTGAAGGTGACGGTTCCTGCCCGGGTCTCAGGGTCGGCACCAAGGGCTGCAGGCGCACTGAGCACACACGTGGCATGTACACATGTGCGGTGTAATACCCACGTGGCGCTCTGCCTGGAACCGCCGGGAGCTCCTCTGCACGTTTGCACACGCAGTGTGCACGCCGTGTAACCGCCACACCCACAAGTTCACTGCAGGCATGCTTGTGTGTGCACGTGTGGGTTGCAGACACACGTGAAATGTACACACGTGGCGCTCTGCCTGGAGCTGCCGGGAGCTCCTCTGCACGTTTGCACACGCAGTGTGCACGCCATGTAACCGCCACACCCACAAGTTCACTGCAGGCAGGCTTGTGTGTGCACGTGTGGGTTGCAGACACACGTGAAATGTACACACGTGGCGCTCTGCCTGGAACCACCGGGAGCTCCTCTGCACATTTGCACACGCAGTGTGCACGCCATGTAACCGCCACACCCACAAGTTCACTGCAGGCAGGCTTGTGTGTGCACGTGTGGGTTGCAGACACACGTGAAATGTACACACGTGGCGCTCTGCCTGGAACCACCGGGAGCTCCTCTGCACATTTGCACACGCAGTGTGCACGCCATGTAACCGCCACACCCACAAGTTCACTGCAGGCAGGCTTGTGTGTGCACGTGTGGGTTGCAGACACACGTGAAATGTACACACGTGGCGCTCTGCCTGGAACCACCGGGAGCTCCTCTGCACATTTGCACACGCAGTGTGCACGCCATGTAACGGGGGCTGCTGAGCAGAGTGGGGTTGCCGTGGGCCGGAGTGAATAAGAGGGGCGGGCTGTCTGCTCCCGGTGTGTCCGTGCGAGCTGCCGCGGGATCTGCCGGTGCCCGCGCACTACTGTCTCCTTGTGCTGCAGGTCGCATGAGAACGGCTTCATGGAGGATTTGGACAAGACCTGGGTGCGGTATCAGGAGTGCGATTCCCGCAGCAATGCCCCGGCGACACTCACCTTTGAAAACATGGCAGGTTTGTTCTGAAGCCCCTTTCTTCCTGCGGGTCTCCAACCACTTCCCTGCCCTGCCCCCAGCCGCTCTCTGGGGGCCATGCGCCGCGGCCGGGGCTGGGGGAGCGTGCGGGGTCCTCTTCCCCCGGGGCCCACAACAAGCCCTGCCCCCCCAATCTTCCCCTTGGAGTCCCAGTAGCGTTCCTGGGCTTGGCGCCATCACCACCACGCCTCACCGCCCGCTCCGGGGCAGGGACGTCCCTGGCAGGCCCCAGCCACCCAGCTCGGGGCTCCAGGGAGCCAGGCAGGAGAGGGCAAGCTGAGCAGCTGGTCTAATGGCTAGAGCAGGCGGCTGGGGGCCGGGACCCAGGCCCACTATGTGACTTTGGACAACTTGCTTCAGCCCAGGGTCTCCCTCAGAACATGGGGAGAATGAGACCTGCTGGGGGAGGGGATGGGTAAGAAACCGCCCTTCGTTTGGCCTGCAAAGCGAGAGCCGGGGTGTCAGAGCGCCTCTCCCCTCCGGGGGTCACAGCAGCATTGCTGCCTGCGTGGCGCCTTCCCCAGCACATTTCGGGCAGGGGGGTCGGGCAGGCGGGGCAGACTGGATGCAGCGCTGGCCCGTGTTCCCCGAGCAAGGGTAAGACCTGCCCAGAGAGGAACCGGGTTCCTCCACCTCCTCCTCTGGCTTGAGACGCCCCACGGCCCCGTCCCTCTGCGACCGATTCCCCCCGCTCCTGCTCCACGCACCAGGCACAGCCTCCCCCGCCCCCGATTGGCCACGGCTCCCCTGTCTGTGTCTGTCCCTGACTAGCCACGCCAAAGCTCCAAGAATTAGGGGTCCAGGGCACCCCTGTGCACTCTGTGGGCTGGCAACGGGCCCTTCTCCCTCACCACAACCCCTCCGGGCCACACATGCCCTGCTCAGAACTAGCATCCCGTTCACATGCTGCCTTGTTCCCTTCGAACTCCCTCTTTCCGCAAGGGCCGTAAAGGGTTAACCGGTAAACCGGGAAGCATTGCCTTACCGACATGCTTTCCGGGGTAACCTGCTGACCGGCCCCGGCCCAGCCGGCGCACTCCTACCCCCACAGTGGCCTGGCCAGGCTGGAGCGGCCCCCCGGGCCCGGTTCACCGGTTAAGCCTAACGTGTTACCGGTTCGCTTTTTCATGGGAATTTTCCACCCCAACTTCCCGTGCCGGTAAAGTCGCCGCTAGCCCGTGTCCAGGGAGCGCGCGCCGAACGGCTGTCGGCACGGCAATGAATCCGCGCGGCGATCTCCACCTTCGGCCGCGCCAGCGGGCAGCATTCACGGTGGCAGGGCGCCCCCCGCCTCCGCAGGGCGATTGTGACCCTACGACGGAAATGAAACGTCACGAGGCTGTTGCCATTGTCCTCTGTGTAACTGTCCTGCTTATTTCAGGTGTATTTATGCTGGTGGCTGGAGGTATTGTGGCCGGGATATTTTTAATATTCATAGAGATAGCTTACAAAAGGCATAAGGACGCACGGAGGAAGCAGATGCAGCTGGCGTTTGCAGCCGTGAATGTGTGGAGGAAAAACCTGCAGGTAGGACAACCCGTTTTTAGAGCAAACCTCCAACAGGTGCGTTTTCCATTACTTCACCACCTCAGGGAGTACAGAGCTCTGGGGTAGCACAGGGCCCCTCCATCCCGCCCCCAGGGTCCCGACTAACGCTGGGGGTGGCTGTGCTGCTAGTGACCAAGCCAGGCAGCCCCTGCTTTCCCGTGGGAATTCCCCTTGGCACTAGCACACCGGCCGACGCGATCTCTCCCGGGAGGTGAGTTGTGCACCCATCTAAGCAGGACACAAATCACGTCATTCTCCACGGGGCTCCCAGGGGGATCTGGTACCTGGCTCGGGTCTCGTTCTGTTTGAGCAAACAGTGCCTGCCCCGCCCTTCCAAACGCCAGCTGCTGTCGGTGAGCGAGTGCCCCCGTTCAGCTGCTGCTCTCGGGGGGGGGGGAGCGCTCGCGGGACCGTTAGCCAAACTGCCAAAGCAGCCCCCCTGCGTAAGTGCAGCGGCAGCCTGGGACCGAGGCCAAAAAGCGGCGGCGTGTGCTCTTGTCAATTGGAGGCCACATATCTGGAGACACGGGCATCTTGCCACGGCCCCCATTCCTGCGGGGGCTGGCAAGGCCCGTTCCCGGTCCACCCAGATTCCCCGTGGCTCGTTCCAAGGGGCCGTTGCTTGCTACGAACTCTCGTGGCTCCGGAGGGGTCATGTCTCCGTGCCCCTGTTGGGTCTGACACCTTGGCATAGTGACATGCAGGAGCCAGGGCCGGGCTGAACTTTCTGGCTTTCCGAGCTGCTCTGGGATTAACCCTTGGCCCCAGATTAGGACCTGTGGCCTCTCTCTCTGAACTCTCTGGGCTGGTTCTCATGTTTGGGGACGCAAGCCAGCGCTCAGCGGGGCCCGGAGCCTTGAGCTGACCGAAGGAAACTGCTGTCCAAAGCCAGAGAGAGAGAGGCCCAGCGACAGGACCCCCGACAGCCTCCCTGCCGTGCGGAGGGGAACGAAAGGCCCGTGTGACGGCGGCACGGACGGGGATGGGGAAAGGGCTGCTCGGGTGTAAACGGCCTCCCTGGCAGCAGCAGAGGGCAGGAACAAGAACCAGCTGGTGGATACTCTATTAGACTGAGTGCACGTTGCACTCGGCTCCCTAATACAGTATTGCAAGAGCCGTCTCCGGCCCCCTTTGCTTCCCAAAAGCAGCAGCACTGAGGCGGTGGTGCCCACGGGGACGGAGCGCTAGGGTCACGCTGCCATTTTTCACTTGCCAACCTTCTAGAAAATACTGCACTGGGTCACTGGGCAGAATCAGTGGGACTGTAAGCTACGCATGTCACCCTGTGGGTATAAACAGAGTCTCCTGATAAAGATCCGTTTGACAATGTAAGACTTTTCCACAGGAGGAAACGTCAGACCACTAGTATCTGGTACATTACTAGAAGGTAGGCAAGTGGAAAGATTTATTTGTTCAAACAAACAAACAAAAATAATGGTTTGGGGATCACAGTTTTGCCATGGCTATTTCCTGAGATGCCATGGAAGAAAAAGACATTTCATTCCATCCATCTGGCTTTCTTTTCTGTTTCTGCATGTCCGCAGCAGAGAGTACGGAGGAGGAGGAGGAGGAAATGTATCCCCGAGCATGCACTACGCACCAGCGGGATACATTTTGGTTACCCCCGGGGGGGGGGAGAGCCAGCCCTGGTTACGCCACCCCTTCCAAAAGCTCACGCACGTGGGCACCAAAGCAAGTGGGGAGGAAATGTTTGGCCATCGTGGTATCTGGCTGGTCCCCACGGCTTCCCCCTCCCCTGCCCCAGCGGCTGGTGCTCCCAGTCTGTGCTAACCAGGTCCGGCTGTCCGACACCCATGGCTACATTTCTGAGTTCTGGTTTTCTTTGAGTTCATGCCAAGCCCCGATGACATCATAGCGCTAATGCTTTGCTTCTTTCCTTTCTTTTCCTTTTTTTTTTTCCTTTTCCTTTTCCTTTGGAAAACGTTCTGCTTTGCTCAAATGCATCATTGAAATTTTGGAATACATTTTTTACAGAATATTCATACAATGACTTCTCTTTCAATGCAGTCCTCTCTCTCTCTTGTGGCGCTAGGATTCAGCTTCAGAAAAGGCCCAGAGCATTTTTTTTTAGTGGTAGGTGCAGCATCTCACCTCTCGGTCTAGCTAGACTAGTTCTGGAAGCAAGGGGCAGGCGTCTTGCAGGCATGTCTCTTAGGAACAAAATGTGATTTAGCCGCTGATTTTTAAATGGCTCCCCCGGGAATGGAGGTTAGCCATGCAGACTTTCCACGGACACAGAAGCGAACAGGGCTGCTTCCCCCACGGGGTTTGCATTTCTCCAGCTCCTAGGCCGTTCCACCTAGTCATAATATTTCAGCCCGTTTGTAATTGTGTATTGGAGTTAGGGCCACGCTGGCCCCTCATGGAGGAGTTGGGAGTAACACCAGCAGAACCTCTCCAGTAGCCGTCTTACCTAAATGAAGGACAGAAATGGGGCAGTTTTCAACTAGATTTAGAGATTCCAGCAACACACTAGAGATCTAATCACTTATACATATTCATTTTAGGATAGAAAAAGTGGTAGAGCAGAACCTGACCCTAAAAAGAAAGCCACTTTTAGGTCCATCACCTCCACCCTGGCCTCCAGCTTCAAGAGACGTAGGTCCTCCAAAGATACGGTAAGAGGAAGAAGAACGATTCTGCCCTCTCTCTCTCTCTCTCTCTCTCTCTCTTTCTCTCTCTCTCTTCTGTCATCCCATCGACTACCACACACCCATCCCGAAGCTGCCAGTGTACATGCATAGCCTCATGTTCGTCAACAGTCAGTCAGTCAGTCAGTCAGTCTTCCCGTGGACCTGAAAAGGTTCGGGGACTCCTGAGCGCAGGCAGGAGCTGGTCTGTAGTCCTGTGATGAGTTTGGAGACGCTACGCAGTTTTTTTGTTGTTTTTGACTGGATGAGTTTGGAGTTGACTCTGTTCTTTGCTCACCCCGCTGGCGCGGACGTTTGGAAACCAATGACTTGTTTTTCCCCCCCCTGTTCCTGAGCGTTCCTGTAACTGTTTGTCATTGTATGCCTAAAACAATCACCCAGGTTTAATTTAGGCACTGTCTCACCTCACTGAGAGCCATGCGTGTCACATTCTCTACATGTGATTTTTGTTTGTGCTGGGTAGCGTTCCGGACGTACTGCTAAGGGCCAGGCTGCAGCGGTAACTCCCTGTGGGGAGAGGTTGATTCAAATCGTGGGTTTCTCTGCTCCAGTGCAAGTGCTCACCCGAACCTAGCGGGAACCTGTCCGTTGCCCTGCTAAAGCCCCACTACCATCCAATGGAAATACCAGTCAGCGTCTCACACAACCCAGGCAGGCCGGGCTCAGAGCCAGTCCCCCATCTGTGCCCACTGCATGGGGCTTTTCCGTGGATGCCAGCTGGGCTAATCTGCGGGGGTCCCTTGGGGCCAGGCCTCGCAATGAACAGGCTGTTGCATTCCCCTGGCAGATTGGCTCAGGGCAGGGCCATGTGGAGGCCGTTCCAGGCTGCCCGGCTGCAGCCAGAGAGCCAGCCAGTGAGCCAGGGTGGCTGAAGCACGGCTCACCATTTGCTTAATCTGTAGCACCCAGGCGCAGCCCAGAGAGTCGAGGGACGTTCGGGGCGCTGCTCCGCCTGGTTCCCAATGCACGATGGGGCCGGCAGTCTCCCTGGGCCGCGGCTCTGGATACAGCCGGAGGCGACTGAGTGTTAGGCTGAAGCAGGGGCTTGCTCCCTAGCAATGGGGGGCAGCACTCGGGTCACACCCGCTGTGCTGTGGGGGGCTGCCGGCCAGCCGAGCCCTGCGCCAGGCCAGGTTGGGCTGCCCCTTCCTCAGACCCCGCGGCTGCTGCCTTCTCTCCCGTGCGGCCCTTCCCTTGGCTGCCCTCTCCGGCTGCGCAGCACAGGCCGGCCGGGTGCAGTGCGAGCAAGCTCGGTCCCCAGAGCCAGGCGAGCGCAGAGGAAGCGAGGCCCTCGGCTCCGGACACGATCCCTGCCCCGGAGCAGGGCTGGGGCCTGTGCCCTGGCAGGGGTGGAGTGTGCTGGGCTGGACTAGCACAGGGGAGCTGGCTGCCCTGGATGGGGCATGAGGGCCGGGGCCGGGTCAGAGGCAGAGCAGCTGGGGTCAGGGAGCTGTTTGGGGCGGGAGGGATCCGGGGCGCATGTCAGGGCTGCCTGGGGCCTGCAGCTCCCCCTGGCGGGAAGGAAAGCCCCCCCCCAATCCCTCCCCGGTTCTCACGGAGCCATGCCCCTCCACCCACCACTGCTCTCCAGCACCTCCCAGCCCGATGCCCCCCCGCCCCGGTGCTGCTGGCCCAGCCGCATGGCACCGGCACCCCACAGCGCAGAAGTGCCAAGATCACCCCCTCTAGCCAGTCCCCCAAGCCCCGGCACCCCGAGATCTCCTTGGGACTCCTTCTCCCCAGCACTGGAGTGGCCACGGCTCCCTGCCTTGCTGGGAGGAGGGGGTGGGCAGAGGCTGTGTGGCCGCCACGGGGGAAAACATCCCTCTACGCCCGCCTGGCCTGGCCTGGCCTGTGTCCCCGGGCTCCCAGACGAGATCCGGGACGTTAGATCGTTGTCTGTTGTTTGTCGCGCCAAGGCAGACGTCGGGTCGTTTGGGCACCTTCATTTCCATACCGTAACATGCTCGAGTTTCTTCTCCCTTCACGTTAACGCTGGATTGCATGGCTTCCCGGCACTTGGGTTGGGGGAACCGACGCCACCCCCCAGTCCTGATAAGTGCTCGCAACGTGTACGCCCGCTGACCGCGGCTGCTCTCTGGACACTTCCTTAGCTCTGCTAGGATCCCGGGTCTCGGGTCGGGGCGCTAACCAAGAAACCAGCCACCCGCGGCCCGGGCGTGCTAGCGCTTGGCAGATACGGCCTTCCACTCTGGAAGCATTAGCTTGGCCAAATCACCGAGCCACCGGGTACCAGACTGGGGCAGCCAGAAGGGGCTGGCCAGTTAGAAAGGGCCTACAGCTGCTTTGTGTTGCCAGTGCAGTGCAAATCAGCCAGAGCACGCTTCCACGTGTGCTCCCCTTCCTGCCGGCCAGATTCCCCGGAATGCCCCCTCTCTCCTGCGTCCCATGCAGTGCCTTGCACACACGTGGGCACGGGCACACCCACGTGCAAGCAGGCACTAGTGCCAGCTCTTGGAGCAACCCGATTTTAAGGGCTGCTGGAGCCGCTGAGCTCCAGAGAGGCTCTGTCTGCTCCCCATCTCCCCTTGCCATCCCTGCCACACCAGGCCTGGGAGCAGCCCCCCCGTGTCTGGGGGAGGGGTGGAGAGAGCCTCTGCAGAACGGGCCCTCGGGGGCAGGAGGGGCGCTGAGCCAGCAGAACCGAGGCGGCTCCGTGGGTGGACAACACAGAGATCTTGCCATTGGAATAGTTGGGCTGGGCAGTAGCTAGAAGCGTCATCGCCTCCGGCAGCATTTTGTATCCAGGCCTGTGCTACGGCCTCAGCCACGGGGCTGGTCCTGCCACGCCGCACAGCCGGGCGAGTAGCTGACACGCGCCCCCGCCGGGCGGAGGGGAGGTGCAGAGTTCAATCGAAAGACTGACCAAAACCCACGCAGGCCAATATAACCCCCAGACTTGGGGCCAAGCTCATGATATTTGGGCATCAGACGCCAGATGACAACGTGTTGGAGTTGGCGCTGCCGTGTGTGTAACACACACACACACACACACACACACACACACACACACCACTGTCCCTCTTCAGCCAGGACTTCCTCCCTACGTGTTCGCGCCTTCAAAATGGTGTCGCCGCTTCCTCTCCGTGGGTCTCAGGCCCTTCCCAAAGACGGCCAGCGCCTCTCGGGTGTCTTCACTCAAAAGGAAGCCAAATTGCTTTCGGAGCGGGGCAGTCAAAGGCCAGGCAAGAGCCCTGTGCAGTACCAGTGAATGGAATTAGGCAGCATCTTTCCCACAGAGAGGGCAGGAAACGGAAGCCATTTTGACTGAGCGAACACTCGTGGCGCGCTTCTCCAAGGGGCGGGAGTGTAGCGCTTCAGCCTCTGCTCGGGGACAAACGTTCATTTATGAACAATAGCAGGGAAACGTCCTTCAAAGTTCTTGCCTCAGATACACTCGGGATTTACCTCGGCTGGGCGCTAGGCAACCAGCCCATGGTTGTGGGTTTGGGACCATTAAAGGTCCTTTCATGAAGGCCCAATTTTAACATTAATTTTACCTCATAAACATATTACAGGAACTGCCTGTCAGGTCCTGAACATTCATTTAGTGGTGAAAGAACCACAGCTGGACTCTTTCACACCAACGTGTCTTCTTCATGTAGCACAAAGCGATGGCAATTGGGCTTTCAGTGTAAAATTCACGTCGGCTGTAACGAGGGAGCCTTGCCGAGTTCCTCCTATCTAGACGTTGCTTGTGAGGCATGTCACAGCCCCTGGCCGAGCACAGAGTCCCCCACGACTTTCCTTAAAACCGGACCAAGGCACACGGGCCATGCAGAGTCAGCTCCCATCGCCCTGTCGTAGGATGGCGTTGGAGGGGCCGTAACTCCCCAGACAAAGAGAGACTCAGCCCAATCTCAGGAGATCCAGAACGAGAGGGACACAGTCATGAAAAACACAGCACAAGGCAAACTAACGCCGGACACGCCCCAAAGGTCCCGCCGAGAGCACGCAAGCCACTGAAAAGCACTTGGATGGGCACCCAATCATTATAGACCCCACATGGCCTGGACAAGGCCTCAGCATCCCTGTCCCACACACACAGCCAGGGCGCTGTTGATTTGTACTCTGTTCAGGACAGACACCCGGCCCCTGGTTAGCGGGGGCAGGGCTGGGGGGGAGAGGGGTGTCTCTGGGGCTGGATTTTTCTGTAAATAGCAAATAGCAAGTGAGGCCCACATGGCGGACAGGTGGAGGTGCCTCTGCAGGGCCTGGTTCATCGCCCTGTGGATTCACCATCCTTTGGTTTCCATGGGCGCTGGCTCGGCCCTTAGCTGTGGAGGAAGGTCCAATTGCACCGATGCAACAAGGAGCCGGGACTGATGGGCCCTGGCTGGGGTCCGTAAATGCCCTCAGTTTCCTTCTGGGTAACGAGGGCCCCCTTCTCGGAGCTGGGGGGGTTGGTTGGCAGCCAGCGGCCTGGGGGGTCCATGGCCAGGAGGGAGCGGATCAGCAGAGAGGAAGTCTGCCTGTTTGCGAGGCCTTTCCTTGGGGAGGGAGCCGTTCGGGGCACTAGCCGTTCCTGCCCCCGAGAGGGGTGGCCTGTGCAGCAGGGAGGGGGCGGGAAGGGGCGTTCCCCAACCAGCTCTCGCCAAACTTGCACAGTAGGAAAAGCAGAAACCAAATTCCGGGCGGCGGCCTGGGGCGTGTGGGCGTTTCTCACGGCTGAGTCCCGGGGCACGGAGGGGATGGCGTGGGGCAAGGAAACTGGGGGAAATCAGGCAGCCCCAGGCTCCGTGACTCCAGGTGCTGGCTCCCCTTGGTTCGCTCCAGACTCGCTCGGGGAGCTGCCGTGGCCCGTCAGCACGCGGCTGCCTCCGGGGCGCTCTCCTCCGCGCACAGCTGTAGGGACTTGGCATTGACACGGAGCCTGGGAGCCAGCCTGTAGGGGCACCTGTGAATGCGCTGAGCCGGGCAGGCCACCGCCAGGGCTGCCTGACACCTGGCTCTCCCTGTCTGTCTATTTGTCTTTTGCAGCAGTATCACCCCACGGACATCACCGGGCAGCTCAACCTCTCCGACCCCTCCGTCAGCACGGTGGTGTGACCTCCCGCAGCAGGGGCCACGGGGCCCTCCGCGCAAGTGGCCCGGCCCAGGACTTCCTTTGCAAGGGACGCAGCTGGGTCCTTAGCCGTGAGCCGACCGGGACGCCTCCTCCATCCGTTCGCAGTGACTCCCTCCTCCCGCCCCACCCCGGCTGGCACGGACCGCCCCGGCCTGCCCACGGGACCGTTCTGGAGCGGGACGGGCGGGCGCTCCCACGTCGTGGGGTTTCTGTGCTCAGCGCTGCCCGGGCTGCGGAGGAGCTGGGATGAAGCAGGCGGGGGCGGCTCCTGCGGAGCCCACGGAACAGCAGCAGGCGAGGCCGGGAAGGCGTGGCTGGTTGCACCCACGTGGCAGGGGGAGGGGAGCATTTGCTGCGCCCTTGTTTGATCCCAAGCACGTGCATGGAGCAACCTAGCCTGGGCCACGGACGTCACCTGACACAAGAGGACTGCGCCGGGGTCCGGTAGCACTAGCACTGCTGGCCCCTCCGTGCAGCTCCGCATGCGACGGACGCGCCTGCCTCTGCTGGAACCTGTCCTTTCGGGGAGCCGTGCGACCCGCCGGCGAGACCCGGCCCCTGGCTGCAGCTGGGACGAGCCTTTTCTCCGGCTCTCTTCATGGCCAGCCGACGAGAAAGCCCTCAGCTCCCTATTCGCCCACCTCTCCTGCCTGCCCCCGGCTGCTCACACGTTAGCCGCCTGGTTTTAGGTGGCACTTGCCGGATGGGTCACACCGGTCCCGTCTCCTCCCCCCCTTGGCTCCCCCGCAGCTGGCCCCCTCCATGCAGCTCTGCACAGGCCTGGCTGCCGTTGGGAGCACCTCTCACGCCGCCGGCACGCCAGACATTGGAAAGGGCCAGGCCACGCTGCCGTGTTCCATCACAAGACAGGGCGGCCCTGGCCCCGGGCACTGGCAGACGCTGGCTTGGCTCCAGGATCACAGGCTGCTCTGTCCTTTGGCTTTGCCCCAGCACCTCCGTAAGCCACGTGTGTCCCGGCCAAGGGCTGGCAATGAGACGCCCGGACTTTCTGCCCAGTCCCCGCCACCGGGGAGCAACGGACGTTCCTGCTGCATCCCCCGCAAGCGCTTCTAGCACTGCAGGGTGGCCTCCCGGTGCTGCTGCCTGGGTCCGCTGTGAGCCGTGGGCCCGTGGCAGGAATCCACCCGCCCGGGCAGGATCCAGGATCCAGACCCACCGACCTGAGAAGGGAGCTCACTTCCCGCCTGACCAGGCCTCCCTGGAGCTTGCAACAAGCGCTCCCAGTCAGCCTGGCATCGCTATGAAAGGAGACGGGACCTGGCCCACCCATGGTCACCACGTCACCCCCACCCAATGGACAAGCTCTGGGACCTTTGCCCATGCCCAGCGTTCTTGTCTATGCTCTGCCCAAGTCGTCCTGCCCAGCTGTGCCCGTAGGGTCAGCTCCTGGCCCTCCCTTTGTGCAGGCAGTGGGGAGTTCCCACGGCCTGTGAGGCCGGCCTGGGCGCCCCGTTGCAATGTTCCCAGCAGCTGCACAGCCGGCGGGCCCTCCCCGTGTACAGCGTGTGTGCACAGCGCTCTGGCTGTCTAACCTCCTGCATGTGGAATGTAGATTCGTTTTCAAAAGCCTGTCTGCAGCGGGACACTGAAACGCCAACCTGCCCGGCTGCCCTGCCCTGTGGCCTGGCGTAGCAGCAGCTACCTCCCTCCACCACAGGGAGGGGGGTTAGCCCCCAGGTTGGTGGCCCTTGCAGAAGGAATCGGACTGTACAGTATTTTTTGGGTCCCTGGACCATACCCACAGGTGGCTTAACGCGGCATCTTGCCACGGGCTGCAGCCACGCCCCTGAGGCCAGCGGGGTGAGGGCCGTTTGCCCCCTGGGGGCCCGCGGGCCGCACTGCGTATACTGTGATGTACTGTAACTGAACACTGTTTTGCAAGCGTCGGGTAACGTTCGAACTGGCCCATAAAGAGGTTTAGTCCAGCGCCTAATGCCTCCCTTCATTTGTAGCCAGGCCACCTGAAGACCCCGCCAGCCAGCCCAGCAGCTGCCACCAGCTCTCGCCCGCTCCTGGCATCACTGCCAAAGGGTTCCCAGATTAGCGACCAAAAGAAGGGATGGAGCAATGCAGCCGGGGATGGAGCAATGCAGCCGGGGATGGAGCAATGCAGCCGGGGATGGAGCAATGCAGCCGGGGATGGAGCAATGCAGCCGGGGATGGAGCAATGCAGCCGGGGATGGAGCAATGCAGCCGGGGATGGAGCAATGCAGCCGGGGATGGAGCAATGCAGCCGGGGACGGAGCAATGCAGCTGGGGATGGAGCAATGCAGCTGGGGCAAAGCTGGCAGCAGGTGCTGCCTAAGGCAGCACTTCTCAAAGCTTTTGGCCCACGACCCACCCCACTGAACACAGACCTTTCTGCGGCCCACCCACCAACCACCCATGATGACAGCATGGGTGAGGAGGGTTGGGGGTCTGGCCGGGAGGTAGGGGGCAGGGGAAGGCTGAAGGTGGGTGGTGGGAGGGAGGGAGGGAGCAGGGGAAGGCTGATTGGGGTGGATGGCTGGAAGGTGCAGGAGGGAGATGGGGAGTCTGGGAGGGAGAGTGCAGGAATGGGGTGGGGGTGCAGGGCCTGGGTATGAGGGGGTGGGGGGCGTTTACCCGGCTCCGTGCCTCAAGTCACTCCCAGGCACCGCCCCTCCTCTGCTTCTATTGGCTGGGGGTTTGCCCC